ATTTCGTGAACCTCAGCTGACTAATAACGCGGGGTCTGCAATACAATGCTTGACCGGCTTCCTTCTACAAAGCCTCCCCTAGTAGCTCGCTATGGCACGAGGTCAGCAGCGCAAGGCAACGTTTAGGCAAGAGGCGTTTAGGCAAGAGGCATAAGCCGCCGTCCAAAGCAGAAGAGAGGCTCAAAGCCAGGCTCCCCGGGGCAAAGAGGAGGATTGGCAGGAAAAGGCTGACCTCACGTTTAGTATGCAGCCCAGCAGGAGCCAGGAGGACAGGCAGGCCCTAAGCAGCAAGGCCAGCTTCTTCTTGCATTGATAGCACACTCCTGGGGGAACTCAAGCGAAAGCACACACACACACACACACACACACACACACACACACACACACACACAGCTTACCTTGTAACCTGCCATGGGATGGGGATGACTGGATGACCTCTTTCCCTGGCCTGGCAGTGCTGCCCCTTGGGCTACCAACTCCAGCTCCTCCTCTTCCTCCTCCTCCAGGGTGTGCTTGGGAGCGTCCTGGCCCGAGACCAGCACAGGCTTGTGGCCCCGTCTAAACCTCTAGAAAGGTGCTGCCCATCCCAGCAAAAGCAGGAAGCGGGCTGAAACGGCGGCTCGCTTCTTTCAAAGGCCGGCCTGGGTCAGGCATAGGATGATGAGATCCGCCCTGGACAGAGGGCACTGGGAGAGAGCCGGTGTGCCTTCTCCTCTGTGTGGAGGTCATATTCCACCCACGAGTCCTTCTTCCTCGGCCTTCACAGTAGCCACTGCTTGTCTCTCTGCTTTGCCCCCCCAGACCACCTGGAAACGGTCACCTTGGTTGGCATCATCCTTGGCACCATTGCAGCTATTGGAGTGGCCACAGGGGTGGTGATCGCCCTCGCAAAGAAACTGTCGGGCAGGTACTCCTAAGTGCTCGGACGGGAGAGGAGTGGGGTGGCCGATGGGAGGTGAGGGAGCTGTACGAGAAGCCGCCCTGCTGATCTGTGTGAGATGGAAGACCCCTCTCCTCTCCCGCTTCTCCGTGGCCCCCGTGGCTTGGCTCTTCTTGCTTCTAAGCTCCCCCAGCCACCTGGGATGAAAACAAACAGCCATTACTTTTATAAGCAAGGATCTCCCCTTTGAAACCCTGGGCTCTCCCCGCCCCCCCCCCCGCATTGATTCCCCCCTTGCAAAGGGAGCCAGGGTGGCTTACGAGGTCCTTGCCTTCCATTTCTGAGCCCTCCTCCTACAAGCTGCAAGGGGGACCGGCAACGGTGTTTCCAGGAGCCTCTTCTGCCCGCCCCCCCAGCTCCCCAGAGGGGGGAGGACTTTTCTTGGGGGGGGGAGGAGGAGGAGGAGGGAGAAAGAGCCCAGTTCCAGAACTGCAGGATTCAGTGAGGCGGCCTCAGGAGAATCCCACCACTGTCTGCACATCCATCAGCAGATGCAAATCCGTTCAGCTTCTTCAAGAAATTCTCAACTCCCCCCCTCCCCCCGCCAAAAAGCGACTGCCTGCTGGAATAGTGGAAAACTGGTGGTTTGTATTGGAATCCAGCCCCACTGACACTAAATGGCACGTGCTAAACACTAACAGGCAAACAAACAAACAGCCTTTAAAAGGTTGGTTTTATTGTGGCTTCAAAATCAGAACAGACTTTGGGCCGGTCCTTTCCTCCCGGCCAGATCTACCTCACAGGGATGTCGCGGGAAAACTAGGAAGGCAAGGACTAAGTGACGTATAGGCAATCCTGAACTCTGAAAGCATAATTCTGAGTGGAGCCCATTTTTTTTTTCTTCTCTCCCTCCTTTTTTTCCAGGCCTTAAACCTCACCGAGGAGGGGGAACCTTTGCTTCATAAAGCCACCTCTGGCATTAGCCCCAGACGCTGATCCGTGGAAAGAGAGACTACTGGGTGTGTGATTGGCTGATTAGTGATTCCAGTGTTTCCTAACAAGGAAGAACTCTGCCCAGTCAAGCACATTGCCAAGGAAGGAGGAGAAAAGACTTTTCAACAACAACAACAACAAAAGCCCAGCTGTTTTATCTCTTTGATCCTGTTCACAAATAATGCTCTAGTGACACTATGCATGACTCCCCCTGTGCCATGTTCTCCTCTTGGTTCCCGCTGTTTTGAATTGTTCCTGCAACCCACGTGCTGCTACTGTTTGGGCAAGAGATTGGAGTGCCTCTCGTACACAACCGGGACGCGCTTCTGCCGCCTGGACATCCTGCCCTTCGAGAATTTCAAGCTCCAGAAGACACAACAAAAAGACTCCCAAGTGTGGCCTTTGACTCCGCCGCAGAGCCTTCTCGCCTAAAGAGGCCACTTTCTTCTTGACTGCAAAGGATCAGGGCTGGCCAGTTATAGTGAGCTAGCAAGCTCCAGCTGTTACGTCTGCCATAAAGCGAGAAGTGCACATTTTGCTTACCCAAAAATGGAGAAGGACAAAAATTTGAGGGGAGGTACTGATAGGGTCTCTTCACTGCCTCCTTTCTGCTGGGGAGTCCCGGTGCAATCCAAGCACCCCTTGCCACCTTCCCCATCACATGAATTTTCTTAAGGAATATTTTAAGCATTTTTTTTTGGTGACAGCAGACGCCAAGTGACATTGAACATGAAAACGAAAGTTACTGTGTGCAACCTTCCGCTTAGTCTGTGCATCTACTTTTGTCCCCGTAACTAATGAAAGACTGGGAAATACAACACAGTCCCAGCAGCCTCTATTTCAGCATATGCAGCTTGCAACCAATATTACGGGGGGGGGGGGGGGGGGAGGGGAAGGGTTGGCTTATCCGCCCCCCACATCTAAAGCCAAAACAGTAAATTGTATGGAACATGTGCTGAAGATCTGGGACAGCAGGGGTCACCTCTTATAATGACAGAGCCCCCCCCCCCCCCCCAAAAAAAAGGCAAAAAGTTTTAGGCTACTTTGAAAGAAAACATTTTTGGAAATAAAACCTGTAGTAAAATTGGATAAAGGCAGCGTTGTCTTCTTTTTTAGGAATTACTGATGTGGGATTTTGTTTGCTAAAGCTTGGATGAAGAGGGCCGGGTCTGCCTCCTACCCGATCCCCCGAGCAGCTCCTGCCTCAGCAGGCTCTTTCCTACTCCCCTCCTGGTGGGGCTCACGAGTCCAGGAGTCTCTGCCAAGGCAGCCCTGACCAGCAACTTTGGGGCTCAGGGAGGCAGATAAAAAAGCACCTGAGACAAAGGAACAGCTGACATCATGTAAGTGGGAAACAGGCCAAGAGACGCTGTCCATTTGTGACATTGTCTTACAAGCATCTGAGGGGGTTAGAAGAATTCACAAAAAAGTTACCTTCGTTCCATGTTTTCACTGCTTTTCTGCTCAGCTCTGCCTTGATTCAGTTTCTCCTTAAGTCCAGGTTAATCATCAGGACTTCTTCTGGGACAGGTGTCCATACAGAACCTCCAGGGAACCCACCCCTTGTCCCGAACTTTTTGCTTCCCACAGGTGCACATCTGGCCTCCTCACACTGAGAAATCTCCCTGGCACTTTCCGGGCAAAGGCAAAAAAAATCTGTACTTCTTGCCAGAAACCGATTTTAGGAATCCAGTGGAACGGACTGTGATCCCTGGATAAGCTGGTTCATCTTTTAAGGCATCAGAGTGAGCCTTTAGTGGGCAGCTAGCTGTTCCTGTACAAATCGCACCACTCAGTTAGTGTCAACCTGAGTGAGCTCTGGGGTAATTTAACACAGCATGTGAACTCTCTCTTTCCAGTTACGCTAGGAAAAACGGATTAGGTTCTGCAGGCAGGTTAAGCGCTTTTGGCAGAGGCAGCCAGGTTGGTTCTGCCAGGAAGGGAGGGCACACAATAAAGACAGGGGAAGGGACGGGACGGGGCTCCCACGGAAAGATTGGATCTGGGCTAGTACTGCAGCACACGAGAATGGTGAATAGGAAAACAGTGTCATCATCTGGCAGCCCTGGAACTACTGCCTGGGCTCTGATTCAAATTACAAAGAGAAAAGTTTACCGCTGTACCACTCTGTTAGAAAACGCATTTTCGAAACGCTTTGGTGTGTTTTTCCCAAATCAGTCCTCCTCGCTCTTCATTTCATCATCTCGGAGGGAGACAAACCGCTCCCACCTAAAGATGCAGCTGAATGCTCCACTTCCTTCCATCCTGCTCCAGTTTGGGTTCGATCTACATTCCTCTCCTCTCGGTTACCAGTTCAATGTGAATTACTCCAAACTTTCATAAATTGCAGAACTCCACCCTAGGTGCTGCCTAGTTGGTGGGGATACAGGATGTACAAGGCTGAGTTAGAAACCCTAATTTGCAAAATGAAAGAACGAGCCTTGGGCAAAACTGGCCTCTGGCTGCACCTTTGGCAGCTGGCAGGCCTAGCCTGAGCTTTAATAAAGCCAGGGCAGGAGAGCAGACTCGCTTTCTCTCTGCTGCTGAAATTCTGTCGGGGGGAACTTACTTCAGCTGGCTGAGACCCAGATGGGCGACAGACCGATTGGTCCCCACTGGGGGCTCCTCCAGGGACCCCCGCCACCCGCCTTGAGACCCGGGGCGATGGGGATGCTGCGGGAGGGCCGGGGTTTGTCCCCACCAAGGAAGAGAAATGGACCAGGAGAAGCCCGGATCATCATCATCATCTCCTCCTCCTCCTCCTCCTTCTTCTTCTTCTTCTCGGCCTCCTCGGGTGGGAAGTCAAGGGGGCAAATGGGCGCCGGTCTCAAAACAGGAGGGTCTCGGGGGAAAGCCGGCTGGGGGACTCTGGGCCGGGCCCGCCTCACAGGGCTGTTGTGGGGCGTCCCTCGCAGGGGAAGGCCTCGGAGGGAGGAGAGTGGGGAGGGGCAAACGCTGCTGCCCCCGCCGCATCAGGGGACGACACGGGGGCGGAGGAGAGAGAGGGGGGGGCTTGCGGGAAGGGTCTCCCTCCCACTCCCAGCCCCAGGGGACCCACCGGCGCCATCAGTCCTTGCGGGGCCGTTGTGAGGCGGGAGAGGGGACAGGGCTTCTTCCCGCCCCAGCGCCGACGTCACTTCCGGGCCGCGGCGGCCAAAATGGCGACGGGGGGGGCTGGCCGGGGCCGGGTGAGTCGCGCAGGTGAGCGCCCCGCCCCCCCGTTCCTCCCCCCCGCGGGCCAGGAGGGGCGTTCGGGGGGATCCCTGAGGAGGGGAGGGGGCACTGCCCGGGGGCCCGCGGGGGGGGCAGACGGGGCGGCCTCGGGGACTGCGCTGCGAGGGGCCGGGGGGGGTGAGACGGAGAGACCCCCTCCCTTGAAGTCCCAGCCACGAGGCGGGGGTGGGATGGAGGGGCCTGTGGACCCCATCGCCTTCACCGCCAGCCCCCCCGCCCCCCCTTTGGGAGAGACCCGGTGGTGGGGGGGCTGCGGAGGGGGGCCCTCCCCACCAGGAGCCCCTGGAGAAGCCGGGCCGGGTCGCCTCCAGCCGCGGGGTCGGTGGCGACGAGGCCCCCAGGGCCGCCCGAAGCTCAGCCTCCTCCACCCCCGAAACCATCCCGGGCGCCTCTTTGCTCTGGAAGGAAGGAAAGAGAGAGACTGTGTGCGCGCGCGTGTTGGTTAGTAGGGGGGAGGAATTGCTGAACAAATCACTCCCTTCAAAGCACTAAGCAAATCTTGGAAAAAAATTAATTACATCGATATGAATAACGGTAGAGGCTTTTACAATTACTTTAATTATGTATTTAAATGTGCAGGTATGACTGTTACCTGTTTTCCATTCTAGGTTTCATGTAATCACAGGAATTTCCTTCTGTTTAACTTCTCAGATTACGTCAGGATTTCAGAATGAATCAGGTAAGTTAAAATGTGAGACTTTCTCAAAATTATTTCTACATTGACTGATTTTCACTTGATTGTGTGTAGACATGCGCTCCTACTAATCTACATCCAGATTCATTTCAATGGGCCCTTTTTCAAGTACCCTTCTCCACGAAAGCTTGCTTTATGGTAGATAAATAACACTTCCTTCTTATGTTAGTGCAGGGAGGTAAAATGCATATATTTTAAAAGTAGATCTGTGTGAGCCTCAGCGCAGACACCATCCTGGAATAGTTCTTTAGCTACAGGTTCTTGAAGGAGATGGTGACAAGGATCCAGTCCCCTTCTCTCTTCTGGGGCACCTTCTTCAGCCACTCTGCACAGGAATTCAGCCTTGATTAAGTCTCCTGCTTGCCTGCCTCGTGAGGCTACCTTTGCCAGGACTCTGATGAGCGGTGAAGCTCCTTGTTGTGGAAATCCTGGTCTGTGGACACCTCCCCCCTCCCCAATACTCAAGCAAGTGTATGTTTGTGGGAGGGCTGTTACAGCCGATCAGTCCTTCTTTTCTGAAGGGTGTGTGTGTGTCTGCCTTCCCACATCGGTTCACTGGTGCATTGATTGAATCTGCTGTTTGGGAGTGGAGAGAATGGGGGCTCTTTGGGGGCAGTTGTTAGTCTCCTAGGTGATATTTGTACAGGTATTGGGGAACCTTTGGATTACTTAAACTGCTTGTGGGAGAAATCTTCTCCTGGAATAATTCGGGATGGCTGCATTACATAACAGCTGGATTAAATGCCATGGGCCAGCAGTGACACGCTCCGAAGGGTAGCCGATCTTGGTCCTTGGACTGATGTTTTTGCTTGGCCTGTGTGGTAGAAGTTGGAGGCTTGTCTCTGTGGGGATAACAGCTAATTTCAAATCAACTTGGGGCTCATTTCAAATCAACCAGGGCAGCAGTTTCTGACTAACAAAAATCTAGGATATATTTGTGCAGAAGAAGGGGAGGGAGAAGCAAGTACCATGTTTTAAAGAAACCCAGGGAAGGTCTTTTTATAACTCTTCTCTGCAAGTTAGGAATAAAGGGGTCCCGCCAGGGTTTTGGGCCTGGAGTGTGTGTGTGTGAGTGAGTGAGTGTAGGCGGCGCAGCCATGGGATGCTGCAAGGAAGAAATCTCCTCTGGCAGCTACTGTGCTGGGTCATCTCTTTTCTTGACCATGTAAAACTTCAGACAGCCTTCAGCCTACTCTCAAAGACCACCTGCAAAAGAGCAGTGGAAGCTGCTTTCCAGACCTCTGTGCACCTCCTCACAACTGGCCGGCACGGGTGACCGCAACAGAGAGTTGTGCGCTTCTCAAGCTTTAAAGAAAAGCTCTCCCGTCCCTGCTTGGAAAATTAGTCACAGCAGGTGCAGCTGCTCAGATTTGTTCAGGTTTGGCCAGTCTTTAAACCAAACCACAAGGAGCTTCTAAACTCCACGTTGATTTACAAGCCAGCGAGATGTTCCTTTGCCCACTGCTGGGTAATTGCATGTACTTTCTGAGGAGGCCATGCTGTGACTTGGAGCTGGCTTGATCTCCGGAGGGTCCTCAAGGTTGGTGTGCCTCCAGGCCCTCCAGTTTCCAGGCTCCCCCAACCGTCAGAGCTCTTCTTGGTCCCTCTTCGCATTTCCTTCACGCTCTCGCCTTCCTCCTTGCCGTTTCTTCCTTTGTGCCCTGGGCCTCCGCTGCATCTCTCTTGGTGTCGCCTCTCTGCTTTCGTCCCAGGGACCTATCTCTGCAGCTTGGGACTGCTCTGACCACAGAATCCCCTTGGCATGCGGCAGGCAGGACTGCCTTTGCATTCACACCTGGCTTTGATCTCAGCATGTCCATTTCACTGGAGTTAGAAAGTAAGTAAGTTGTTCAGCACCAACTACATCGTGTTCTTTTCTCCTTTTTACAGTGTCCTTTGTTGACAACTTGTAATGCCAGGTCTGTATACAGTAACCTCCTGCTTCTCCCAAAACATCCCCAAATGCCCCGTCTTCCATTCTTTCTTTGCTTCTAAGTGCTGACTTACAACTCAGCTTTGCTGTTATCCTGGTTTATTTGAAGGAGGCTTGTTAATGTCTTACTCCACAACTCTTGGAGGAGCCTTGCTTAATGAATAAGTAGGCTCCAAGATTTTTAGTTGTTGGGTGATTATGTTAAGCATGCTTCCCTGTAATTACCTGGGACATGAGTAGGCAAAGTAGCATCCCTAACCGTTCTGAATGGCCCCACAGACCCCCATATTGAATTACAATAAAAACTCTCACAAGATCATCCAGCCTCTGCAAGATGAAAATATTTCTGCAGGGGTTAGCGTTAGGGTCTCTGCCGTCCTTTTCAAAGTAGGCCTCTTTCTCTGAAAGTGAGAAACTCCACGCCTCTCAAAAAGACCTTCCTTCCCACAGCGTCTGACTAGGGCTCAGAACAGACCACTTGTTAACTGACAATGATTTGAGTCAGAATGTGGAATTGGGTTGCCTTTGTTCTTATAACCCAGGGATTGCGGCAAAGCAGAACGTGGGATCCAGCTCATGGATGCCAGCCCCCTGGTATAGATTGGTTGGTTTACATGAATTGTAAACTTTATCTTCTTTTTAAAATACACTCCTGAAATTTTGCTTTGGTGTGAATGGGTGATACAATTTATTTAAGGACACACACATACATGTCTACAGGAGAAGGTTTCCAGGAGCTGTGGCATTAAATCCGAAGGCCACACTTGCGGTATTTCAGGTGTTTTTAAAGAATGTGTGGTGCCTAAACGGCGGGTGGCTTTGTGAGCCAAGTTCGGGAAGGAAGGGCGGTGCATGCGGGGGGGCAGCTGTCAGGACCTGCTTAGCCTAATCCTGCTTTTCCTCCTGCTGACGTTCCTCGTGATGCTTGCAAGGAGTTTATGTTTGAAAGATAATGTTCAAGGATGTAGTTGAGCCCCCGAGGCCCAGAGCGGCTGACCTCTCCTCCCAAGCGCCTGAGGGCAGGACAAGAAGCCACTGGTGGAAGATCACCATAGAGAGAGCCAGCCTAGAACTCAGTCTGAGGGATTTTCTGACAGTGAGGACAGTTAATTAGTGAACCGGGTGAAGTTGTGGATGCTCCGTCACGGAAGGTCTTCAAGAAGAGGCTGGACCCCGAGGTGCCTATTGCTGCTCTTGCTCACCATTTACACAGCTGCCCCTGTCACACACGGGCTGTTGAGGGCCTCATCAGGGCGATCTCTGTGCAGCAGCCCCACATGGGGCGGGGGAGGGGGGCGGGCGGATCTGTCCCCTCCTGCAGGAGGAACACCTGAAAAGGTAGATGGCCTTTCTGTTTGGGAATCCAGAGCCAGGGTTGGGATGCCAGGGATTCGAGGGCTGATATGAACGGGAGAGGCCTGCCTGAGGCTCTGGGTGTGGCCACCAGTCGCTGTCTCCTGGGCTCAGCTGGGCCGACTGTTTTTCTTTTCTGTTCTGGTTCCCTTTGTAGAACTCAACCGGGCCTTCAGGATCAGTTGAGACTTTGGCCGATGTCCCCGAGCACATCCTCAAAGGGCTTCCGGAGGAAGTGAGGCTCCTCCCGTCCACTGTGGACAAGGCCCGGCTTGGTGGGTGAGCCCAGAACAAGCGCCTGGAGCAGGGGGAGGGGCGGGGGGGGGGGGGGGGGGGTTTGGGGGGGGGTTTTTTCCTGCAAGCAGGGGGGGGGGGGGGTGCCCGGGGTTCGGCTTGGCCCCTTGGATATACGGCAACTTGAAAAGCTGGCAGGGGTGTGATTCTTCCTGTGTCATGACTGTGCAAGGATGAAGACCTCACAAATTATTGTCAGCCTGTATTTAATTCGTTTAAATTTGATCAACATAGTTTTCACCCATGTGCTCCATCCACTTGATGAGTGGTGGGCCTTGGCGGGAGGATGTTGCCCTCAAAGCAACCAAGGATGCCCAAACTCTTATGAAGGCAGGTGCAACCCACAGGTGGAGGAGGGGGGGGTGGAACAGCCTGGGAAGACCATCTCTGGGGAGACCAGCAGCAGCCCCAAGAAAGCCTTGGAGTGGGGGGGGGGGGGTTCTGTCCCAGCCGAAGCTTAGATTAGGCCCTTCGCGTGGTCTTGGACCCACACGGACCACTCATTCCTCTGGTCTGTTTTGTGGCCATAGCTTTGTGCCTTGCGGCCTTCCCCTTTTCCTCCCTCTTTCCAGGAGCCCAAAGAGCTCCCGATCCAGAGCGGAAGGCCACGGGCGGGCCCCCAGCAGAAGGACACTGTTTTGCTGTGGGCTTTGGCAGGGAGGAAAGACCTTGCAACGCTCAGGGTCTTGGCCCCTTCACCAGGGCAGCCAGCCGAGGCTGGGGAGGGCTCACCACTCTTTTCTCTTTCTTTGGTCTTCAGGTGTCTGGGCCACAAAGCCCATTTTCAGAGGCAGGAAGTTTGGCCCCTTCGTTGGTGACAAGAAGAAAAGGTCCCAAGTCAAAAGCAATGTGTACATGTGGGAGGTAAAGGAAAGCAGATGAGAAGTGGCCCCTCCCTTCCCAGTGGGAGGGTCTCGGGGGGGGGGGGGGGGGAAGCAGGAAGCCCAGGGAAGGGGGTGGGGGGAGAGAGAGAGAGAGAGAGACTGTGCGTCTGTCCTCCGGGGAGGGGCCCCCGCCTGTTTTGCCCCTACCTTGATCCCAGGCCAAGGCTCTGACCATCCCTTTCTCTCTCTCCCCCTTTCCCCCCTCCCTTCCCCTGCTGCAACACTTGCAGGTCTATTACCCAAACTTAGGGTGGATGTGTGTGGACGCCACGGACCCGGCAAAGGGGAACTGGTTGCGTTATGTGAACTGGGCTCGTTCAGGAAAGGAGCAGAATCTTTTCCCGTTAGAAATCAATCGGAGCATTTACTACAAAACGTTAAAGGTAGTGGTGCTCTTCTCTGTCTCTCTCTCTCTCTCTCTGTCTCTCTCTCTCTCTGTCTCTCTCCCTCCCTCCCTCCCTCTGAGTAGGTGTGATAAATTCTCTGCTCTTAAATTCCTTGTGAGAAATGGAGGAAGTGAAAGACAGATGGTGGCTGCTTCCATTGGAGGAGGGTGGGAAGAGTCCAGTCGTTTTCAGCCAGTGGGCTGCATTTCCGTCTTCTTCCCTACCAAGAGGCCTCAGCCAGGAATGTTGTCACCAGAAAGCATGGAACATTTTTGAAAAGGCGCATTTAATGTCTTTGGCTCTTGGAAAGGATTTTAATGGATCAACACGGTTGCCTGGCAAAACTTTTAAGGCTTCGGTTTTGTCCCTTAGAATCTCCCCCAAACGGAAAGGATCAGTCTGATCATTGTCAGGCTTTTAAGGAGCATCCTGGGTACCTTCAGCTCCTGGAAGGTTTCAGGAATCCTGTCTGTCCTTAATCCCAAACAAGGAAACTTCTTCCCAGCCCCCTCGGAGAGGGAGGGCTGGGGTTTCCCTGTCGGGGAGTGGCACCTTGTAATCCCCCCCCCCCCCCCCCAGCTTGGATGGAACCAGGTGAAGGCCCACTCAGCCACCCGTAGTTTGCTCTGCCCCTGACTGGAAAAACCGATCCTGCTTCAAGATGTAGTGTGTATTTTCAGAGGGATGTTAGGGATTTTTCCAGCAAGGATTCCAAGGAGGGCAGCCTTTTGAAAATGCCTCAGATGTCAGGGCGCAAGGAGAGGCTTTCAGACAAAAGCTGCTTCAAGTATAGCAACATGGCCAGATGGGAGAAGCCCCTTTTTTTCCTGCAGAGCCTCTTCTCTGACCTCTTGCCTAGCTTGGCAGTAGAAGAGGCAGCCCTGCGTACCAGCAGTTCCCTAGCAGCCTTTCTTCGCTCGCCTCCATTCTGGGCAGCCGGTTTGAAACCGGCAAGGGGAACCGTCGATTTCACACCTTTGGCTTTTGCTGGCCTCCTAACCGTTCCCCTTGGAAGGCTCGTTGGCCTGGGATAATTAACAGCAACGGGGGGGTTTTATTTGCATTTCCTGGGTGGGGGGATTACAAGAGCCTAAGCAGGCACAGAGTGAGGAATACCCATCAAAAGCAATGTGTGAACGCTGGCTGCCGTGAGCTTGCTATGCAGACAGTCCGGTGTGTTCCCCATGAGGGAACACTGTTTACTCTCTTGTGATCCCTTCCTTTCCAATCACTCTGCTCTACTGGGGGGAGGGGGCGGGGGGGGGGAAGGGAAAGAGGAGAAAACCAACCGGTCAGGCGCAGGACAACCACCTCTACTGACGGCGATGGCAATCACTTGACTGAGGGATCCAGTCACATTGGTCCTAATGTGACTTTTTCAACAGTGTCATAACTTTGAATGGTCACTGAATGAGACAGTTGGTAAGCAAGGACTACCTGGGACTTTTTAAAAGGTGAGGCAGCCATTCATAGGCTCCTCACTGTTAACTTCCTTGATGTCGTTTTTGTGGCCCCCATCTTTAGTTCTGTGGCAAGTTCCTCATATAGTTTCTAAAGTCACCACCATTTCCCCCATGGGGGGCAGCGCTCTAGGTCCGAGGAGGATGGAGGGTGGTTTTCAGAAATGGTGAGGCCACAGGCTCTTGGTCTGCTTCCGTCTTTCCCTGCTACGTAGCCACCATTCGGCCTCTTGGTAATTTCTGTCCTGACAACGTTTTGTTTCTTCTTACAAGTGAGAGTTTGCAGGAGTGTTGATGCTGCCTTCCTCACGGAGTGACTCCAGGAGCCTCAATGTCATGTATTAAACCAATCTAAGTTTTTTTTTTTCTTCATGCAAACATAGTCCCTAACAAGTAGCTGAGCATGTTTACAATCAGAATCATTTTGATATTTGTGCGAAATGCGACTTTGGTATTAATATTTCCTTTTGAATACTTATTGAAAGTGATGTGCATGTATTTGTGTGTTTTCAAGGATGTTTAGGCCTTACAAATAAAAACAAACTCTCTAGTTATAGTTACAAGCTCGGTGAAAGTTTCCAAATGTTTCACAGCTAGATTTAAGACAATTTTGAAAACTAAAGAAAGTGGCTTTGGAGTGTAAAGATTCTGGCATATCTTTTTTTCCCATTTGAGTGGTAGCCATTATTCTTTCGTCGCCTTCTCTTCTCTCCTAAGTGTTTTCAGACTGACAAACTGAAGGGTAATTTTGTTTCAATCTGATTTTTGGGAGCAAAATAGAAGGCTGGGCTTTGATATGTGGCGGAAGGAGATTTGTGGCTCAGATGTCGTCCTGCCAGTCATGTTGGGGAAAGGCTGGGGTGGGGGGGAGAGGCTGACCTTGCTTTAAGAGGGTCCTGCAAGCCTTTTTATGGCAGGGGCTGGGGGGGTAGAAGAGACCCTGCTCTGACTGGCAGGAGGGGCCAGGGTGGGCGAGCGGCCTTGACAGCACAGGCAGCCTTCGACCCAGCAGTTCCCGCCCTGGGGAAGGTGGAGCGTTTGTCCTTGCGGGTGGCTAGAGAGTTGATCTCTGCCAGCTGGGCTTCAGCCATGATTGGTCTGTGGGGCTTAGATGACAGGCCCAGCATCCCTGGTTGCCTTTCCAGAGTAGGCGGGTGCCAGGGCAGGAGTTCAGCTCCTTCCTTGGGCTGGGCAGCTGAAGGGAAGAAGCAAGCAAGCAGGCTCCCTCCTCCTCCTCCTGCTAGGATGACTCAGCCGGGAAACATTTGGGCTTTCTTCATCGTGCAAGTCGCAGCCTTGTGCTGCGGTCCTCCTTCCAGCAGAGGGGCTGGGTGCGGCTCTCCTCCCTGGCTCGGCCTCCCTCTCTCTCTCTCTCTCTCTCTCTCTCTCGCTCCTGCCCTTTCTGACGCTGTGATGCAGCACGGCCAGCCCGCTTGCTTGCAGCGAAGCCAAGTCCCCCAGGGTTAAAGAGTCCTTCCTGTTTGGCTGGCCAGGCCCTCCTCGGCAGGCGGCCCAGGGAGCGACAGGGGCAGCAGCTGTGCGTGATCCTCCTGGCCCTTTGGCCACCGGCCGCCTGCCTGATTCCTCCCCCTTCCTCTGCGTGGGTCGGCCGGTCGTGGGTGGGCGGCTGGCAAACAACCTCCGGTGTGATTGGTGTCCCGCTTTTGTCTCTTTCCTCCCGGTAGCCAATTGAGCCTGGGGATGAGCTCCTGGTCTGGTACAATGGGGAGGAGAACCCGGAGATAGCAGCTGCCCTGGAAGAAGAAAGGGCCAGCCACCGCAACAAGAGGAACTCCCCCAAGGCCAAGAAAGGTAAGGCCCTCCTCCTCCTCCACCTTACAACCCCCCCTCACCCGCCCCCCCCCCCCCCCCCCCGCCCCCCCCCCCCCCGGGGGGGGGGGGGCGACTGACCCGCCCCCCCCCCCCCCCCCCCCCTCCCCGCGAGAAGGGAGAGGCAAGGGAGAGGGGGGGTGATAGGACGAGTGTGTGTGTGTGTGTGTGTGTGTGTGTGTGTGTGCGTGCGAGCTGGCGCCTCTGCCTCCTGTCTGCTTCTGCTTGTGAGATCAAGAATGGCTCCACTCGGTGCAGCTTCCTTGTTCAGCCGGCTCTGGGTCTGCCTTCCCCGCTGGGCTCCGTCCCCTCCCACCGGCTTCCCAGCCCCGTTTGCCCCTCCTTGTTTGCCCCCTTCGGTCCTGGCAGCCCTAAAGCAAGAGGTGGGTCCCTGGGCCCAGAAGGAAAAGGCTCTTGTAACGCCACCCACAGGGAGGGAGGGGGGGTTCAGGTATTCGGTGGCCCTTTGGGGACGCTGGGCTGACATTTTCCCACAGGAGCAAAAGGGGGCCGCCCTCCCTCCTCCCCTCTGGCCCTGTTAAGGACCCCAGATTCAGGGTGCAAATAAGATTTCGGTGCCTGGCAAACTCCAAGGGCCGGATTTGCACAGGTTGTGTGGTGAGGATCCCATTTCAGGAGGGTGTTGAAATTTGGGCAGTGAATCATCCCACGATCCCAGCGGAGCTGCTCTCAGTGTTGCCCTCAAGAAAATCAGTTCTACGTTTCTTCTGAGCAAGAGTCTTTTTGTAGGTCTGAAAGGCTGCCCTGCCAGGCTGCCGGGGATCCCAAAGCCAAGAATCACAAGCCTTTATGGGGGAAGTGCAAAAAGGAGGGGGGGGGGGGGGGGGAGGGGAATGTTGTTGAGGACACGGTTTAGTTGATGGTTTTGTTTTTGTTTTTAAGTCAGGGAAGGCAAGAAGATTGAAACTGCAGCCTGTTATTTTTGTAAGGACTTTTCTAAAATTTTGGTGGCAGAGAAACGGAGAAGCCAACATTCTTGGGATATCCTTTTTCTCATGCATTTTCAAACCTTGTTTTGTGCAGTGGCTGAAATCTCAGGGTTGCTGGGCGCTCACCGCCTGTTCTGACAAGGGGTCCTGCTGCACGTCGATATTGTAATGGCTAAGCCTGTGCCGCCCCCCCCCCCCCCGCCCCCGTGCAGCGCCTGGTGGCTTCTGCATTTCCCCCGTACCGGGTGGATCTGGAGACGCTGTCTTAGACCTTCAGATAAGCGGAGGGATTTTCTTAGCAATAGTCCAGCCTTTCTAAGGCAGTTTTCAAGGTCCTTTATGGGAGAAACAAAACAGGCCGGCTGAATGTAAGGTAATAGACGGTGTTCAGCCGGTAAAAGACAGCAGGATTTGGCTGCCCCGTCCTGTGAAGAGATACAGCTGAATCTCTCGGCGGTCTCAGCCGCCTCCCATCTAACCTCAGTGGGTGAGTTGAAACCCAGGCCAAGCTACTGCGTGATTTTTGAGATCACCATGTGGGATCAGGCTCACGCAGAGGCTGGCTGAGGAGGAAACGGCTTCCGTTGTCTCTTTGTCTGGACTCAACTATGCAACCAGCCTAACATAACCGTATCCAGATCAGCCAGTTGGTTGTGACTGGCCTCGAGTCCCTTGTTTTATCTGAGTTGGATGGGCTGAGTTCATCTCTGTTTCCTCACCAGGCAGTTGGACTTGTTCTCAGAAGAGCCTTTGTGCAGTTGCAACTTAAGTCCTGAGTGCGAGCTCAGCGTTTTCATTGAGGAAGCACTGCAGAATTGGTGGCCTTAGAAAGTTTTTTAACCGAGTGCAGCCAGCATAAAAAGCCCCACCCCTCCCAACCAAAACAGGCAGGAGGGGAGCCGAACGACGGCAACACAGAGCATCGGTTGCCAGAGAAAACAGGGCAGGTATCTCCGGCTGGTGCTGTCACCCCTCCTGGGTGGCGCATGCCAATGCCAAGGGCTTGTTTTATCAGCAGTGTCTTTTTGGAAGGAAATTCAAACCTTCTCCAGTCATTATTTAGTGCAAATAATGTTGCGTAGGAGAAAAAAGAGGGACGCACTGCCTCTCGTTCACTTTTTCATGCAGGGTTTTGACTCTCTTGGGCTGTGTCACCCAGGAGGAAGACTGGGAGGCTGGTGACTCTGTTTAGCTCTTCTCATAAATTTGCTTTGGAATCCCTGAATGGTCCAAGCCAAAAATAAACAAACAACCCCCTATTCTGCTACTCTTCCATATCTTCAGTCTTTCGTCTGAAGTGAACGGTTCCAAATAAGGATGTGGGACTTTCACAGTAATTAGGGAGAAACAAGAAGTAATTTACTCATGGATAATTCTTCCACCTGTTTTTTTTTCATTGCTCGTGGAGTTTTTCAAATCAGTGGCCTTATCTTCAATAATTTCATAGTTTTCCCCACTTCATTCACTCAATATTTTAAAAGTCCAGGCTAAGGAAAACGGTGAGGAAAGCTCCAAATCCGAAGGGCTCCGGACAGCTCTGGACCAAGACTTATCCTTGGCCCATGGTTGTGCGCCGTTGAACCCCACCTGAAGGGGAAGGAGGCAACCCTAACCACCCACCCTCTGCTGCCAGGAGGGGTTGGAGTGGAGAGTGGACAGCAGGAGATCCGAGCCGGTGGGGCTTCACCTGACGCAGCCACCAAGGTGGGGGAGGGTCGTGCCCCCTTGTGGCTCCTGCAAGGCTTATGCTGAGAGCACACAGGGATGGGCCACTGGGGCCACACGGGGAAGATGGCAGCCGTGTGGTGAGCGTATCCTGTCACAGAAGCCACTGGCCTTGGGGAAGGTGGAAGGGACTTTTGCCCTCCTCCAGCCCAGAGGTACAGGCTGGCCGGAGTGTATCTTTCTATCACAGCAGGCAGGAACCACAGTTGATCCAGCAATCCCATCTTCTTCTTCATCGTCATCATCATCATCATCCCAAGTAGTAGTGCCCCTGATGTTAGCCCGGCCGAGGAGATGCTTGTTGCATCTTTGTGATCACATCGACACAGTTTGTGCAGCCCGGCTAGCGAGAAAGAGAAACTTTCTGCTTGCTCCTTGGACTCTGATTGAGTGGATCTAAAATTACAGTTGCTCTCAAGTTGTCATTCTGGCTGTTTTTAGTAAGCAGAGCAGCTGCTGGCTGAATCCCGGCGGTCAGGGTTAAACCTACATTAAGGTCACCCGCACCGAATGCCAGGATGGCTGCTTGAAGGGCGGGTGGGGTGGCGTCCTCCCTTGCAGGAACTGTTGAGCCTTCACCTTGCCCTACGCTTTAGGAACCCTGGGGAAGATCGATCCGGCGCGTGACACTGAACCCTGGATGGATTAATGATGGTTCCTTGAACGATCATTGTGCACTGTGCTGGGCAGCCCTCAGCATAGCCTCTGGGTCTGGACCCCTGGCTGAGCTGAGCCCAAGTGGGAATGGTTCAGAGAGAGGTGCCCAGGGACCCCCAGCAAACCTTCCCGGTGCTTTGCTCACCGGTTAGATGGCTACTCCAGAGGGGGAGGGGGTCTCGAAAGAGCTTTGAAGGAGGGCAACAGGCCTCCAGGGTTTGGGAGATGCAGAGACTCCTGTCCATGGTCCACAGAGCTGAGTGTGCGGCCCTCCCACAGGTGAAGTGCTAAAGAAGCTCCGGCAGAGCCTTAAGAGGTGCCTCCTGCGCCACAGACCTTGGCAGCCGGCCCCTAGCCAGCATCAGCACCCTCCTGCTTAACCAAACGTGGCCACGTTTGGTTGCTTGGTGGGAGCCGGGGGAGACGGCATCAAGAAAGAAGCTCTCCATTTAAACATCAAGTTCTTCCTTTTCCTTTTCTTCTTAGCAAAGAAAAAAGCCCCCGAGGCTAAAAACAAAGGAAAGAAAGCCAAGGATAATAAGCGGAAGCTGTCTTTGGAGGGTCTGGATTTGACCCCTTTCGACATGAGGGAGACCAGAGAAGGTAAGGAAGGGGCTGCCTGTCTCCTGCCCTCCTTCTTAAGGGACTGGGGGGGGGGAGCTGAAATGGGGAGGCTGTGTTGAAGAGTCGCTAAGCGCAAGGCAGGGTTGGCATCCCGAGGTTTGGAAAGCACCTGTTCTTTGAAATGCCGAAGAAAATGCACCCCAGGCACCCCCAGTCATAGCCACAGAATGAGCCCCGCAAGATTAAAAGGGGCCGCGGAGGAAACGGGACCTGGTCAGAAACGGGGAGGGGCGGGCAGGATGTGGGGAGGTCAGGGCCATTGGGTACTGCATTCGGTGGTGGTGAGAGCAGGCTCCCATGGGCATTGGACCTAGAGGTTTGTAATGTTTGCAATAAATAATTGTACTGGGTGAGTTTGGGTTCAAAGGGGAAATGCACTGCACCTAAAAGTATTTCTGGCTTGCAGAAGCAAAGCTCCCCTCAGACTTGGGGGCAACCCACGGGGAGCGTGTTGCCTTCCAGTTTACCTATTTTATTAATTGGCAAAATTCATGGGCCGCCCACCTGACCTTTTCTTCCATTTCTCAGGCCAGAAGCTGGAGGACGAAGCCCCAACGGTTTCAGCGGTGTTGCCCATTGACCAGGCCGCCGTCATCCAGGAGATGGTGAATCAAGACGTGCTACCCAGCCTACTCATCTCCAGCGCGACCTGCGAGGCGCCCACCACGCCTGAGGACCAGCCAGAAGTCGTCCGGTGTAGATCAAGAGGTTCGGAGGAGGGTCTTGAGCAGCAGGAGGAGCAGGACGAGGACGAAGAGCAGGAGCCCCTGGAGGAAGTGGGAGAGGAAGAAGATGAGGAAGAGCCTCAGGAGGAGGAGGAGGAGGAAGAGGAGGAGCGCTTCTCGAAAGAAAATCCAGAGGTGGAGTCGGGGTCAGCGTATGGGGACAGGCTGGTGGTGGAGTCTGCAGAGGAGCAGAGCAGCCTCTCGGAAGACTCCCCCGAAAGCTCCCCCAAGAAAAAGCCCTCGGGGAAATGTCCCAAGGTGAGGGGGGAGCCCAGCACCCAGGGGGCGCCCATGTTTCCCTGCCAACACTGCGAAAGGAAGTTCACCACCAAGCAGGGCCTGGAGCGCCACGTGCACATCCACATTTCTGCCATCAGCCACGCCTTCAAGTGCCGCTATTGTGGCAAGGCCTTCGGCACACAGATCAACCGCCGGCGCCATGAACGGCGCCATGAGGCCGGGCCCAAACGGAAGCTGCTCTCACCCTTGGCCTGTGCCCAGCTGCCCAGGACCAGCCCTGGGGCTGCCGAGGGGAGTGTCCAGAATGAAGCCAAGGCCGGACAGGAGGCCCCTGCCCCGGAGACCGAGAGAGTCGCCTCCAAAACACCACCCCCTCCACTGCCTTTGGAGGAGAGCAGGGAGCCCAGGGAATCGCACCCGTGCCAGTACTGCAGGAAAGTATTTGGCACCCACACCAACATGCGTCGGCACCAGCGGAGGGTCCATGAGCGGCACCTCATCCCCAAAGGTGTCAGGAGAAAACCAGAAGAACCCCAGGCTCCCGTGGGCCCAGCCCAACACGCCCCCAGCACGTACCTGGCCAGCACAGACCTGGAGGAGGAAGAGGAGGAGGAGGAGGGCGAGGCAGATGACATCATGGATGTTTCCAGCAACATCTCGGAGAATCTCAACTACTACATTGATGGCAAGATCCCGTCCAACAGCAGCACTAGCAACTGTGAGGTGATTGAGGTGGAACCCGCCTCCGCCGAAGTCTACGGCATCAACTGCCTGTTGAGTCCCGTGACGGTGGAGATCTCTCCCAATGTCAAGGCGGTGCCGGTGCACCTGGTGGAGGAGTCGAAGGAGCCTACTATTGGCGGGACGCCCGAGGCCAAAAAGAGGAGGACAGCGAGTCCCCCGATGCTGGCCAAGGTGAAGACGGAAATGGACCCGGAGCCCATCACGTCGCTGTGTTCCTTGACGATTCCCCTCACCATATCGACCGTGGAGAACCTGCCCTTCCCCAGAGAGAAGGGTGTTTATTTGTCCTCCAAGCTGAAGCAGCTTCTTCAGACGCAGGACAACAACAAGGTGGCCCCCTCCCCCCCTTTACCGGCAGGGGAGATCCCAAAGCTGGGGCTCCCCGCGGCCTCCCCTCTCCTCCCGGCCACCTCGAGCAGGTTCAAGCGGCGCACCAGTTCCCCGCAGCACAGTCCGGGCCTTCGAGACCCCGGCAAAGCCAGCGAGGGCAAGCCCGCTTGGACCGAAGCAACCCTGAGTGCGAAGCCTCCCAAGCTGGAGAGGCAGAGCAACTCCCCCTCGTGGACTCTGTCTGGGAGAGAAGAGAGGGAAGCGCTGAGTCCAGAAGAATTCAAGGCCACCAGGGAGTGGGCACCAAGCCCCCCCTTTGGAAATGTGTGCAACCAGCAGCCCTTGGACCTGTCCAGCAACGTGAAGCAACGGTCGACCGGGAAGACCTGGGCCCAGCCATCTTGGGAGTCCGTGCTGGACCTCAGTGTGCACAAGAAGCCGTGCAGCGATGGGGAAGGCAAGGAGGTGACTCCGCCAGCAGGGGGCGCAATCAAGAAGAAGCCCACCACCTCCATGTTGCAGAAGGTCCTGCTCAATGAATACAATGGGATGGGCTTGGGGCCCGAAAGCCCCTCCCCGGACACAAGCCCAAGGCCGAATGCTTGCAAGCTAGCCGAAGCCCCAGAACCGCAGCCTGGCCCGGCTCCCCCAGCCCCTGGGGCAGAGTTCGGCTGCTCTGGCCTCACCGCCGCCGAGGTGCCTTTGCTGCCAACCTCAAGCTGCCCGGCACCATCGGCCTCTCCCTCCCATCCTCCATGCCCTCCCATGCTCCAGGCCCCCACACCTCCCCCTCCTCTCCTTCCCACTGTTCCTTCACCCCTCCCGGAAGACCCCAGCAGCGGCAGCAGCAGCAGCACCCCAAGCTCCTGCCCGTCTCCCCTGTCCAATGCCACAGCTCACTCCCCACTGCCCTTCCTTTCCCCAACTGTCTCGGCCTCCCCACTTCATTCTGTAGAGCCTCTTGGCTGCGCTTCACCCGGGCCACCCACTCTCTCTTCGTCTTCCTCCTCCCCCTCCTCCTCTTTCTCTTCCTCTTCCTCTTCCGCCTCACCGTCCTCGTCTCCTTCCCCGCCTCCCCTGTCAGTGGCCTCTTCCATCCTCTCTCCGGGGGACCAGCTGGAGAATTCAGCCCTCCTGGTGACTTTCAAGCAAGAAGAGGGCGAGGCCAGCGGTCAGAGGCTGAGGGACAGCCCCCAGCCTTCCAGCGCGGCAGAGGCCACCCAGGAGAGCTTCAGCAAGAGCTTTGTCTGCAACGTCTGCCAGGCCCCCTTCCTCGCCATCAAGGACCTCACCCGGCACCTGTCTGCTCATGCCGGGGAGTGGCCCTTCAAGTGCGAGTTCTGCGTCCAGCTCTTCAGAGAGAAGGCGGCCTTGTCAGAGCACCGGTTCCTGCTCCACGGGGTGGGGAACATCTTTGCCTGCTCCGTCTGCAAGAAGGAATTTGCTTTCCTATGCAACCTGCAGCAGCACCAGCGAGACCTGCACCCCGACAAAGAATGCAGCCACCACCAGTTCGAGAGCGGGACTTTGCGCCTGCAGAATTTCACCGACCCCAGCAAAGCCAGTGCGGAGCAGATGCAGAGCCTGCCCAGCGCTGGCCTACAGCCCTCCAAGGAGGAGGAGGAGGAGGAGGAGATGGAGGAGCTGAACGACTCCTCCGAAGAGCTCTACACCACCATCAAAATCATGGCGGCCGGGGTCAAGCCAAAGGGTCCTGACGTCCGCATGGGCCTCAACCAACACTACCCCAGCTTCAAGCCTCCCCCGTTCCAGTACCACCACAGGAACCCCAACGGCATCGGGGCCACGGCCACGAACTTCACCACCCACAACATCCCCCAGACCTTCTCCACTGCCATCCGCTGCACCAAGTGCGGGAAGAGTGTGGACAACATGCCCGAGCTGCACAAACACATCTTGGCTTGCGCATCTGCCAGTGACAAAAAGCGGTACACGCCGAAGAAGAACCCCGTGCCCCTGAAGCAGGCCGTCCGCCCTAAAAATGGGGTGGTTTTGCCCAGCCCAGCTGGCAGCGCCTTCCGCCGCGTGGGCCAGCCCAAGAAACTCGACTTCGGCATGGAGGCCAGTCGGGTGGCCTCCAACAAGCTGAAACTCAGCGCCCTGAAGAAGAAGCAGCAGCTGGTCCAGAAGGCCATCCTGCAGAAGAAGAAGTCGCAGCAGCAGCAGCAGCAGCAGCAGCAGCGGGCAGAGCTCAAGACTGGCAGCACGGAGCCCAGTGCCCACATCTGCCCCCACTGCAGCAGGGAGTTCACCTATATCGGGAGTCTGAACAAGCACGCCTCCTACAGCTGCCCCCAGAAGCCCCCTTCCTCCTCCTCCTCCTCCTCGAAGAAGAAGAAGGCCAAGAAGAAAGCCGGGGGCTCATCTCTTGGAAGCGGCAAGAGTGGCACCAACCCCCGTCGGCGAACGGCCGATGCCGAGATCAAAATGCAGGGCTCTGCCACACAGCTGGGCAAGACTCGCGCCCGCAGCTCGGGGCCCACGGCCGTCCAGCTGCCCTCCCTCAAGCTGAAACAGGGTGTCAAGTTCCCCAAAAAGGGCCACCACCCTCCTCCGTCTGTGGCCAGAAGCGTGGGCCCAGCCAGAGTGGGCAAGGCAGTCCCAGTGGAGGGGAAGCGGAGCAAGGGGGCCGCCAAGAGTGCCCCCCCTCCCGGACTGCTGGGCAAAGCCTCGCGCAAGCTGCACATCCGCATCCAACGCAGCACAGCGGCCCTGGGCGGCCAGAGGAAACCCGCTGACCGGTTCAGTGGCAAGTTGCGGGAAAGGGTGGGGGGGCCCGTCACCCGGAGCCTGCAGCAGCAGCAGCAGCAGCAGGGAACCTCTGCGGAGGCCACGGAGGCCCGAAGGGAGGAGAGCACAGCCAGGCCGGAGCTGAAGGACACCAGGTGAGCTCCAGAGGGGCCATGTGGGGCTCCGCCTTGACTGGGGGGGGGGGAATACCAAGAAGGGCCCCCAGGTCCTGTCCCAGCCCACAGAGCTCTTTCTTGGGAGGCAGTGGGAGGTGGGTGCCGGCAGCCCAGCAGCCAGGGAGCGGCCCTCTGGCCAGCCAGGCCTGGCCTCCCTGGACTTGCGCTCTCTCACACAGCCCCATCAGAGACCCCCTGGTTGGCGGGGGCTCCGTCCAGTTTGCTTTGCAGTGGCTTGGTTCACACAACATTAGGCCGGAGCCCAAGTCTCGCGATGGCTGGCCAAGGTGTGCAAAAGAGGCCATGCCGAGCGCCTTGCCACCACCCTGGTCCCTTCTCGGTCATCACCCGTGGCTGCTCGCTTCTCCCCGGCCTTCCCCTGCCCTGCTGTGCCAGAGGCCTGTCCATTGCGTGCCCTTAGCTGACGCAGCCATCACCAATGGCTGCCTTGAAAGGCTTGTTTCTCCCACTCCGTCTTCAGTGGGTTCCTGCTCAGGTAAGTAGTCGACTTGACACGAGCCGCCCGTGTCTCTCCCGGTCCGGGGAGGGCATCACCCAAGTGCCAAGCATTGGGGGAAGGGGAGAACGTTTGTTTTCCTCCTCCATCGTCTCCCCTTCGTTCCACATCCTCACACTTTGTTTTCTCCCCTGCAGGAGCTTCCCGTGAGGAGACCTTACAGCTGAACCCTCCAGACGTGTAAATGAGATTTTCCTGGTCCGGGGCTCGGCCCCCCTGACGACCAGCAGCCGCAGGCGCAGCAGCAGCAGCAGGAGGAGGAAAGCAGACGCTCCATCCTCCCAACAGGCAGAGCCGAGGATGCAGTCGGCAGCTGCCAACAGGCTCGCCCAGAGCCGGCTCTGGTTGCCCTCCCCACCCCACAGCCACGCCTGGCGATTCTTAGCTGCAGGGAGAAGACCCTCCCGCGGAATGGGGTTGCCCCTCTCCTCCTCTGGCAGCCCTGGGCTTCTTACAAAGGACTCGATCCGGTTCCCCGGGAGCAAATGCCACCTTGGGCTTCTTGCTTGGGCACCTGGCTTTCACCTGGCGCAATAAGGAGGGAAGCAGATTAAAAACTCAATGCGGGGAGGGGTCTTGCCAAACGAGAGGGCCCGGGCAAGTATCAGGGATGACAACGGGCTCACGTGGCACTCAAAGTAAGTCATGGTCACCCCGTCTGCCAAGGCCTTGGGGTCAGGCCAGGGACCCCTCCCCGCTTCTCCCCACCGCCTCTTCCCTGCTAGCTTTGGGGCCAGCCGCTGCTTTTCAGCCCTTGTGGGGGGAGCAGGAGGGGCGCCAGTGTGCTAAAAGATTCCCTCTCCCAAGTTCCCCTGAGCTGGACGTCTGAGGTTTGGTGGTGGATGACCAGCAGGAGACGGGGGGGGGGGGGGGGGGGGGGGGGGGGCTGGCGGGGGGGGGGGCGGGCAAGGGCCCCCCCTTTCCCTTGTAAATCTCCCCCCCCCCCCTCAATTTTCCCGGAGAGGCGGCTCCCTCTTTCCCCCCAACCTCGCCTTCCATTTGGGTGAACAGCAATCGCTTCATTTGATTCCCCCCCCCTCCCAATTTTTTAAAAGTTACTTGTCCTTGACTTTAAAAAGTGATCTACCTCTTAAAATTTGAAGTTTTGGTATTTTGGGGGTGACTTCATGCCACTTGAACCCCGCCCCTCTTGCTATCATTCCCTTTTGTCTTTTTGGTTGCGTTTCTTCTGATTCACGGGGGACATCTACACCCAACAGTTGTATAAAGCATTCATAGCAAGTTTGGAAAGGGGGGAATAAAATATTTAAAATTATTTAAATTGTTTTTGACACTTCAGTTGTATTATATGTGATTTACATTTTACATTGATTTGTTTCTGTGGGAGAGGAGGGGCTCTTGGATTAAAGTTTGCTGTTCTGTAGTTCATTTCCCCCCTTTCTTCTTGTCGGAGAGCGATGCAAAGACTATTCTATTAAAAACATTAAAATTTCCAATTTGCCATACAAAACCCAGTTTGTCATTGCTTCCAAATGCCACGTTGGCACGTTGTGGATTTGCAGCCAGCCTGGGGGGGGGGGGGGAGGTTGGCCGTTGTCACCTGCCCACTTCAGAAAGGAGTGGGGGGGGTCTGTGCAGCCCCTCACATTCAGCAGGGGAACGGGCTCCCCATCCCCCTCTGCACCCTCGGTCCAGAGGGGCTGCTGTTGGGCTGCAGCCTGGGGGGCTCCTTCAGCAGCATCTGGGAGCCCCAGTACATCCCTGGTGGGGGGAGGGGGGAGGGGGAAGGGAAGGGCTAACGGGCCTTCCATGCCAGCCAGCCAGCCGAGGCTCTTCCTCTTGAGGGATCTGAGCACCCACCACCACCTCAGTGCAAGATGCTTCCCGGGCAGAAGGGGGGTGGGGGCGGAGCCTGCCTGCCTCCCTCCCTCCTGGGCTGGTTTGGCCTTGGAGGCAGCGAAGCTGAATTTGGAAGCCTCCCAGTGAACTTGGCCTTGCGCTGGTCCCAAGGGGAACGTGTGGGACAGGCGGACTTGATCTGCAGGAGGATCCGGAGCTTGCAGAAAAACATCTGGATGCCTGCAAGTCCAGGCTTGTATCGGGAGAACTGTGGCTTCCCAGTCACTTGTAGTTCTCGATCCGTTTCTCCTGGCTCTGCTGGGATCTCCCCTTCCCCCCAAAACGCACAGGCAACGCTCAGGAGAGGCCGGCTCTGGCAAGGAGAGGGAAGGACCTGGGGAGGGGAAGAATGAAGGGCACCCTGCAGGGGTGTCACGAAGACCCTTGTCTCAGGTGTTGGGATGGGGGATCTTGGGGGCACAGAGTCCAGGCGGGGGCTTCCGAGGATGACGTTCCCCAAGGGCAGAGACCGGACAGCCCTTCTCTGCTTGGATTTGGACCTCTGCCCCCCGCAAAAGCTGGGCCTGGTGGGCTGAACTCCTTTGGCCAACGATTCCGGGCTTGGCTTTGCAAAGGGATGTGCCCGCAACCTTTTGTCTCGTCCCAACCTTCCAGGTCAGCAGCTGAGGGTCCGCCTGGGCTCTCTACCAAGACTGCCTTTTCTTTGGAATCCGAGATGCCAAGCTCCTAGAACCCCCCCCCCCCCCCCCCCCCACCCCACCACCACGCTGTGCGCCCACGCGCGGCCCCCCCCCGCGGGGGGGGGGGGGGGGGGGGGGGGGGGGGGGGAGAGGCAGGAGGGCAGAGACAGGCTTCTGCATGGGGAGGAACCCGGCCACAGGGCAGGATGGGGGTCTCCTCCCCTCCTTTCAAGAGGGTATTTTGCATGACCGGCCTGGGAGGAGAGACTGCAGGAGGGTGACGTCAACAGTGATGCTCATTGGCTCCTCCCCGTCCCCACTTTCAGCCCAGGGAGGGAGGCCGGCCGACTGCCGGAGGAGGATGCCGGGCGAGGGGCTCAGCTGCAGGGCTTGGAAGGGGGACCGAGAGGACCAAAAATATGCATCATGTAAGCAGCGGGGGGGGGGGGGGGGGGGGGGAGGAGGTATCAGGCTCCATCCCAAAGTGCCATCCACCACCATCACCCTGAGCATCATTTGGTTCCAGCAAGGATTCCTAAAACCGTCCCTGGCAGCCAGACCGAGCAGGACGCTGTTGCTGTCTGGAGGTGGGGTGGGGGGGTTGGTTTGCTCTGGCTCTGGAAGATTTGCCAAAGTCGAGGAGGGGAGAAGTGTTGCACGAGAGTTGATCTGCTGCTGGGGGAAATCGCCGAATTTTCTCAGGAAGGAAAAGGAGGAGCTTGACTGGGTCATCCAAGAGCTTCTGAAATTGACCCCGGGGTCAAGGAAGACACGTCTCTGGGAGCTGAGAGGCCTCCCGCTGAAGTTGAAGAAGGGGCAGGAGGGAGTTTGGCCACGACAGGTTGGAGGTGAGATTGCACCCCGCCCCCGTTGATTTCCTGCCTGTTTGCTTCACCAGAGGAAGCGGGAGGACGACTGAAGACCCTCCGGAGAGTCTGCACAACTAAGCTGGGAGACCTGCTAAAGCCATGGAGGCCTCGTCTGTGGACACCACCAGTCTGGTCACCTTCTCGCAGGTGTTTGGCCATAAGTGTCAACTTCTGGAGGCAGGTAAGAGAAGTGGGGATGGGGTGGGGGGAGGATGACAGGCTTCTCCTGCTGCAAACCCCTGGAAAATGCTTGAGTACCCAAGAGGAGCATTATATATGTCCCAGGTTTGACAGCCAGTGATGCAAGGAAGGAAATGCTGGTTCAGCGGCCGTTTAGGTGATAAGATGCAGAGGTGGGTGCCAATCGAAACATCCTCCATGAACACAGGGACGAGATGAACAGATACTCTAGTGCGTCCGCCTTGTCCTGCAGGATTTCAAATGGAGGCATGTTCAAAATCATTGCCATTGATTTTGCTATTGGACTTAAGAACTGCAGCTTTACCCATGCAACTGCTCAGAAATGGAAGTTGGCTTTGTTTAAGGAATATGGGCTGCATTATTCAGGACTGTGGATCTGAGCCAAAAGGAGTGGTGGCCCTGGCTGTTGTGGTAGCTGTTGTAGCAGTTGTTCCCACTCCTTCTCTGTCCTTGCTACGAACCGAGGGCCTTGAACCTGCCAGGAGATTTCTGGCTTCTGTCCTTCTAGGCGGGAAGGACGTTGCGGATCCTCGATCCTATACTGCTGGACATGTAGGCTGATGGGAACTGAAGTCCAGCAGATCAGAGGATCTGGGCCTTCACATTGTTGGTTCAAGTCCCGCCCTGGTCACCTACTAGCTGCTCCTGGAGTGATAACATAGTTTCCTGGGTGACCCAGCAGATGCTGGGGTGCTACTGGTCTAAGCTGGTGTGTGTGTGTGTGTGTGTGTGTAAGAGAACTGCCTTTGGAAGTTGTGGAGCTTCATCACTGGAGGCTTTCAAGAAGAGATTGGACTGCCATGTCAGAAATGGTGTAGGGTCTCCTGCTTGGGCAGGGGGTTGGACTAGATGACCTACAAGGTCCCTTCCAAATCTGTTGATCTGTATTAGATCCAATGGGCCTTTCAGGGGGAACCCAGGAAGAGAGTCCTCCCTCCAGTCTTCTTGAAGGACCGTTAAGAGGTGGTCTCCCTCCTTCCAATCAGCAATTAAAAATACTTGACAATGAAATTGTTTTTAACCAGCATAGATTCCTAGAGGAAAGAGAGTTTCTTTTGCTAATACAAGATGTTAGGGAAGTCCTTTGCCTTCCTTCCTGTTCCTGTGACAGACGAAGGCGCCCAAGGAAGATGTCGGCAGAAGGCTTCACAAGGCCAAGGCAGGCTCTGGTTCACAGGCACTGAACAGGCCCAGGAGAGCTGGTGTCTGCTTAACTCACCAGACTATTTCACTCCCGCTTTTGCCTATAAAGATCGAGGCATCCTGCTTTGCAATCCTGTAGGGAGCTTTGGGTAGGATATATTTAGCATGTAGAAAAATAGGATTGGATGTGCTTGCAGTCAAAAGAACCAGCCAAGATCAGAGGGAAAGGCATTCGTGTACCCTTGAAGGAAAAGCAGAGGCTTGCCACTGGTCAAACAACTTCCCCAAGAGACTCTGGATGCCCCCTTCAAGAACTGACTGATGGGGCTGACCTCTGGAGTTGAACTGCCGCTTGAGTGACGCACCGCTCTTCCGCAACGATTATCTCCCGGATATGGATAAGGTCTGGAAGGTGGCTTTTTCCAGTGGGGCACTTGAGAGCCAGGGAGCACCAGGAGAGGGAGACAGAGGCTGTTTGGAAGAAGCCCCCCGTCACTTCTGACTTTAAAGAGGAAAAGTGCTTCTGCTTTGGAGGAACAACCTGTCCACCTGCCAGGTGGATTTTTTTTTTTTCTGAATTAGGTGGTGGCCAGAAACGCACTTCTTCTCTGCAGGATGCTCAGGCTACAACAAGACAACTGTTAAAGTTGGCCCTTTACTCCAGAGGGCCAAGTTTCAGGAAAGTTGTGCATCTTTTACAGGCGACATGGCAAGATTCTTCACAAAGTGCTGTTATTCTTCCTCTTTTCAGGAGGAAAGTTCTCCACTGGTAGGACTTTCAAGGATATGAAGGATTAAAGCCGATATCTGAAAATGTCACCTACCTTCTGTGCTCTTGGATAGGACTATTAAGCCTTTTCTCTCTCTCTCTCTCTCTCTCTCTCTCTCTTCTTCCTCCCCACCCCCCAGTTCTAGCACTCTTGGCTGTTGCAGAGGAGGAGACCCTCCTTCCAACCCTCATGGGCAGTTAATCTCTCGTTTCCTGGGGCATCTATGGCATGGGGGACCCTCTGTGGGGCGGCAGCTTCTGATCCCTGGAACCAAATGAATACCTTGAACGTACTTGCAACCTCCTGCCCGCTTCCCTTGGGGGTCAGCCTTGGAGAGGGTGCCCGGGGCACTGCCCGGGCTGAGGAGAATTCTGCATTCTCCTACAGGCCCACTGGGAGATGCCACTGGAGGGGGGAGACGGGGGCTTTGTCTCCTGCTGGGGCGTCGGACCAGCCCCTGCAGGATCTCAATCTGGCCTCTGGGCCCACAAGGCTCCTTCCCTTCCAGCCCACCACCAGCCAGGGATGGGGAACGGGGCCCAGCCTTGGCTTTCGAAGCCAGCGCCCATTCTGCGGGGGTGTTCAAGAAGAGAAAGGCCAGCCTTCCTTCTTTGGCTAAAGGCCTTTATGGCGGACTCTCTCGTGTTTCCCTTGGGGCCCCAGCAGGCCCACCCCCGGGGCTGGGAAGGCATCCCCTCCAGATGAGGCCAGAAAGCCTGAATCGGAAATCCTCGCTTAGGAGCAGCTTTGTGGCGCCACATCCCCGCCTCCCTCGAGGGCCCCGCCAGAGCCAGTCGGTGGACGCCCCGCCGGCCTTCCCGCCTTCTTTCCCTCAGGATCGCTTGGCCAACGCCGGGGGGCGGGGGGGGGGAGGGCGTGTCGGAGTGTGTGTCCCCTTTTCTGTGGTAAAAATGAAGATGAAAATGGCCTCCACCGGGGCGAGATTTCCAAAGCTCACCAGGCGCCCCACGGAGACC